AGAGAGAGAGAGAGAGCATAATACATCACGCTACTCAAGTCATTCGTATATTTGGGCACATTGAGCACCGTTTGTTTACTACACCCATCAGCACCTTTCAAAAGTAACATTGCGTATAAAAACGGCAAACATCCGAAGAAACGGTACGATGAATAAACGTATAGTCTAACAATAATAAAAGAAAAAGATACTAATGTATAGATGTAATAGATAGATCGTTTCTCTCCGACTTTTACGCATGTTTTACCTCTCGACAAACAGAATCGCGCTCTGTACATCGATTTTTGAACAGACGTTGCGTTTCGGTGTTGCGTTAAACTTCGAGTGATTAAGTTACTTCGCGGAAAACGATGTGCACGCGTATCGCCGCGTTCTCACTACGCAGTTTCGATGCGTCGTCGCGTTAATTACGATCTCACGACCGACGATTTCGTGTCTTTGTCTACTTTTAGGTTCTTCTTCTGAAGAAAAAGAGGAAAAAAAAGAGAGAGAGATTGAATTATTCTTACAACTTAAGAAATTTAAAAAAAAGAGAAAAAAAAATTGAAATGTAAAACGCTTCTTAAAACGTGTATAAAATTACTATTCTAACGTTTAAACAGAGTGTAGAATTTTTAAATATTGTACTCGTTTAAAAGAAAAGAAAGAGGAAAGATAAAGAATAATTATTGAGAAACTGATGACGGAATGAAAGGGAAAAAGAAAAATTGAAAAAATTGTCTGTGATTATCAGTCATAATAATCTTTAGGTCGACATATTTTTTAGAGAATATTTTTTAGGAAATTACAAAATTTATGATATATATCCCTATCGTATTGATATGATATATAACATATTGGATCAGACACGCTATGCATAATAATATTAAAAGTGAAATTGAAAAAAAGAACTGTAAAAGTTGCAAACTATTTAAATAGAGTTACAAATAGTTGAGATTCGATGGCTGTTGTAAAATATTCAGTGTTTGGACAAATAATTATTAAAAACTATTTATAACTAATATCGAAGTATGGTAATATTATTACATCATATTACAGTAGCGTTTCTATCCCTTTTTGCGTTTGCATATTTACGACAGACATAGGTTGTAGAGAGAGAGAGAGAGAAAGAGTTCCAGCGAATAGGCAAAACTGAGCATCGCAATTAATTGCGATTAACGAAACGAACGGAGAACGAAGCTGCGAAAACGAATCGGAGAAACGACGAGAAGGACAGAGGGCATTTGCCACACGCTTTTTTTCGCGTGAAAATTGTCGTGATCGATCCATCTACTTCTCGTAGAGAACTTATCAAGTTTAATCGTAATATTCTACATTAACCAGAAAAGATACACATAGAAAAAAAACATAGCCGCTTTCATCACAGACACGTACATACATACATTCTCACATACACAGATATGCCCATGTTTTGTAATTAAATGTTTTGTTAGTATATTATACGAGAAATTAACAAAATAAAAACACAAGTGGACACATGAGAGAAACGTTGTGCGTTGTACATTTTGCCATACGCGATGTATTCCTTTTTTTTCTTGTTTATAAGAACAAATACCTTGACAAATACTCGACACTTATATCGAGGGATATATTTCATTTTAAATAATCTTGTTATGACTGTGGGTTGGTATAAATTGAAATCGTGTCAATAGTCGTGCGAAATGTCAGCATCATGGATCCTATTTACTTCTCAGAAATACGCGTGAAAATCCAGTAAAATATAATCGCGCGTTGGAAGCACTTGATACTTCAATTATTACGTAGACTTGTTGCAACTCGAGCGATAAGTTTCTTGCTTTTTTCGAATATTTTTTTCATACTACTTTTATTTGCATGAATTTTTCAGAATTGGGATTCTTAAAGTTGAAAGTGGAATTATTGAAAAATTGGTAAAGAAATAGAATGGTAGAATTTGCGTTGAATATCGACAAAGATATCCTTCTTCGAATTTGGTGGACTCCAGATATGTTGTAAAAATCAGAAATACGTTTTATGTTTTCATAAAATCTTTCTCACCTATTTAAAACTCGAAATAATTAAAATTAACTGAATATGTATATGATTTTAAGCGATTATTGAAAATAAGATATATATATAAAATCTTTAATTCGCTTTAAACGACCTATAATTAGCATTAGATTTTAAGATGGAAATCTAATTTATAATTTTACGTAATAGAAAAAAATTTTTTAAATCGAAATACACATAAAAATATAATACATATCGCTGATACTATATATTTTATACGCACAAAATCAACAGTACTTACCTTAATGTTTGAAATTGCTTCCAAATTTTAACAATTTTGAAGCGTGCGTATGATGACTGTTCATAAAAACTCTAAAGCTAAATTTTTGTTAATGTGCTTATTGTATGCGCTATTGTTAATATTTTAGATTCACATTTAATCTTTTATACATCAAATGGTTAGATATCAAACTCTCAAGCACTATCGTGAATGGTGTGAAATGTTCTGTCATGATATACAAATATCCAGACATGATATATATCCATTCCGTATTATTAAAATTGATTCAGTTTTATGTATGCCAGGACATAATTGATTTCATCGTATATACGTATATATATATAGATATATATATATATATATTTTTTTTTTTTCTATATATATTACTCAGCACACACATAAAATTTCACCTCAAATTGTGTTGCAAATTATAGGTCGTCTAAAATAAACTTCAGGCAAAAATTTCATAATATTTACTGCATTTTACAATCATACATTTAGTTAATTTTATGAAAATATCATACTTTCCGATGTGTTCTTATATTTTATTATTATTTTTATTTCTTTATTTATACAACATTAAAGTAAATTTTACGCTAAACTTATGCACATATAACAATATTATTTTTCGGAGTCAAACTTTTAACAAATGAATTGTAAACATCGTGTTATGTCTGCAATATATTCAAAATTCATTAAAATCGAAGGAAAACACTCATGTTTTTTTTTTATAGTATAGTATAGTATTCCTGTGACAATTTATTAATAATAAAATAAACTAAACAGCTATTTACAATTATTCCTATATAATGTTCATATTAAATTAAACGTTTTTCAATTAATATTTTTTATTTTGTTAGAATTTATACCAGAAACGTGTAAATAAAAAATACGATGCTATCGTCGCTTAATTATCAGAACGTGCGAAATTGTGCGCTATTTCCAAAGGTGCGTCTCTCCCACGTGTGCGAGAGTATATTACTCTTACTCTCTCGATTATTCTCCACGATTGCGGCAGTGCGCGCATTAAAAGAGCGCACGCAGAGTCGGAGGATCTCGCGGCCCGCGAGTTCGTATCTCGTTAATTTTAAATATTGCTGGGGTGCGCAATTAGTCCGGAGGCCAACAAAGCGCCCAATCTTATCTCGCTTTATCCGTTCCCACGAGTGGAACGAGTGAGCAAGCGACTGAGCCGACATTTCGATCGATGCATAAGCAGTCGTCGAGTCCGTTGCTTGTGGGTCACGCTTTTTCTACATGTGAAAATTTCTCGCGTACATTCGTACATATACGCGTGTACAATGGCTGTATATATTACGGTTGAGTCACGCGCAAACGACACACGCGAACAAATTACGATGATACCGGCATTATGAAAGTGCGCTACGAAGTGCGCCTCTTCTCGAAAACGCGCAATTATGCGTAAGGTTTGCCGTATCACATTCGGCGCAATGCTTTACGTATATTATTCACATAAAACACAGGACATTTTACTGAATATCGTATGTTAAAATGCATTTATTTATACGTTACTCAAACACCAAATTTCGAACAACTTACTATATAGTAGATTTGAAAAATAACGGGATAAATTTTTTTGCGTTAGCGTTATCTACTGACAATTAGTGGCGTTTTCATTTACTTTAACAGGTAATTCATATTCAGGTATGATTTCCATAATAAGAAAAGTCATAAAACGCCCGAGAAGTTGTGTTTTGTATCGAAATTATCGAAAGTTCGAGATCAAATTGTTGCACTTTTACGAGTAACCAATTGATCAGCGACTGAATCAAATAAAATGCATATCAATTCAGAATACATATTATATCATTTATAGTAGGAAGAAATACATATTATATCAAATAAATACATATCATATATATATCAGAATACATATTATATCAAATTTATAGTAGGTCTAGAATTTTAGAATTCACATTTTTTTAACTGCAATGAATTGAAATCTTGTATTTTAAACAAAGATATGATATAGAATGTTAAAATGTACATTTTATTCAATTTTAAAATTCATATTTTCTTTACTACGATGCATTATAATTTTATATTTCAAACAAGAAACGTGAAGAATGTTAATCAAATATTAAAAAGTTGATTATCATAAAAAAAATATTTTCATGAATTTAATAATTTATTTATTTTTTATTGCCAATATTTGTCGATAATAACATAGATATAATTATTGACATCAAAATTATCAGAATTATTGAATTAAATATGAAAAACATTTTTAAATTTTATTTTAATCAGTTGTGTATTTTCTTTTTATTATCTTTGTATTTGTATATCTGTATTTGTATATTATATTTGATAATTGTAACATTGCGTAACGTACAATGTTGTTTTAATAATGATAAAATGTAATACGCAATTTTATATTATAGAGAATAGAGTATATAAAAAAAGTAAAAATAAATATAATTGATATTGATGACTCTCGTTACGATCGCGACACGTATTGTACAGTCAAAATTCTATAAAAATATATAATATATAGAAATAATAATATTTGAAATTATTGTTCACTTTATTTCT